AAAAAAAGAGTGCGGAAGTTGCAGCATCAGTGGACGAACCAAGAAACCATGAAGCTTATTGAGGCAGTCGAGATCAGGGAAGGCACCTGGAACTATTTGGTCAAAGAGTACAGGGACCGAAACCTTAGAGAAGCTCTGTGGCAAGAGGTGGCCGACGTATTGGAGTTACCACGAGCAGAAGTTACAACAAAGTGGAATAGCCTGCGTTGTGGTTTCCGCGTACGTTTTCTATGGTTTTTATGACATTAGTTTTAATTAAATTTTATGCAAATCTAGGCATCGTTTAACAGGATAGGAGCGAGTAAGAGCGGACAGGGTGCTACAAAGACGGTTTCTTCAAACCCGTTTTACAATGCTTTAAAATTTCTGGAGCCCACTTTGCGTGTTGAGGCATCCACAACATCAAATTTAATAGATGTAAGTTTAGTTACGAAGTAAACATAATCTTAATTATATTTTATTAACTTCTTTACTTTAAAGATAAATGAACCTTCGCAAGAGCAATCCCTTTATGACCCTGAATTTCTCGAAGAAGAAATCGTGCAACCTAAGTCAGCAAAAGCCTCGACAAAGCGCCAACGACAAGAAGATTCCGAGTATGCAAAGGTTGTTGAGAGCGCTTTGCAAACGATGAATTCTGCTGCAAAAAGCGATCCTTGGGATGATATGGGCAATTTCGTGGCATCAAATGGCCGTGAATTCGCAGCCGAAAACATTCAGTTGTTTTAAGATTGCAATTAATGAGGTTGTACTAAACTACCAGAAGGAGTTTGCAAGGTAAATGCAGGAAGCTATAGAAAGCGATAACAATAAGATAATTAAAAAAAATTTACACTTCTTTTCACAGCCCACAGTAATGCGCCAAACTCGAATTACTGGCAATGATCTCAAAACAACAATAAATAGATTTAAGACATTTTAGTGAATTTTCTTCGTGTGCCATTTTAATTTAATCAATTTTTTTAATTTTTTCCCAAGTTTTAACTTTAAGAAATCTTGATGAATTTTCTTCATGTGCCTTTTGAATTAAATCAATTTCTTATGTGTAATTAAAAGTACAAATTTTTAATTGAATTCATTTTCTTTTTAAACATATGAATGATAAGGATATTTATGTGTAAGTATGTAAAATGAAATTGGTTTTTTTT